AGAGAGCACGAAACAGAGGAGCAACATAATGTACGACTTCAGGCTCAAAGAACAAGACAAGCTCAAACACGATCTAATTTCAAATAAAGCTTTGTTTGATTAAATGCTTTTTTATTTCTTGCATCACAGCTTTTGCTACTTACTGAATAATTTTCTGAAAAAAATACTGATCTATACATTTCAAATCTAAATGTTCACCGTGCATATATATATATGCACACACACACGCAAAGAAATGGCCTAGAAAGACAGAGTTGAAAGAAGTGGTTTGCTTGTCATAAAACCATGGAAGAAAAAAAAAAAAAACAGGAAGCAAAAACATCAGGCAGGTCCTGTGTGTGTTCCAGCCCATAAAGAGCCAAGTGGTCTAGAAGGTTGCCAAGGCTCCTGTAAGAGAGTGGGTCTAAGTGTTCCCTGGTGCATTCAAGGCCATTTTGTGGCACTATATATTCACATTTACTTTTGCCACTTTGCTTCACACCCAATGATTAAATTACAGCCCAGTTAATATTAAGGTAATACTTGTACAAACCATTTTCCACTTGGACAAATTACTGACCAATCATTTACAAAATGAGGTATTTTAAAAGGTAGATATGCCTGTTTTATTAGACTTTTTTTTCTTCAGTTGTAAAGCAAATTGATACTAAGAGCCAATTGATTAGTGGAACTCGTTAATCAATTAATCATTAGGCTCATTACTAAATTACATTCAACTGGCTGATTATTTTCACATGAAACTTGGAGTTAGAATAATTGAAAACTATGATAATCAAAAACTAATTTGATTAGTTGGTTATTTTCATGAGATATGACAATTTGATTAAGTTGAATAACTTTGGTTTAATCAAAAATAATAATGAAAAAACCATAATGGCAATATTTCTACTATTTGGATAGTTAAAATAATTTAAAACAATTGATAATCAAAAACACTAATTTCAATTAATTGATTATTTTATTCGACACTATTTGAGGTAACTGATTTGATAAATAAAGTTAATCGCCAATCTCTAATAGACACATGCTGGCTAATAAAGAGAAATTTAATGCAATGTCAGATAATACATTAGATTTCTGTCCAATATAAGCTACACCTAAATGATTTCACACATAGATAATGCCTGATGAAAGAAAAATGTCTTTTCTATGTAATCCTAAATGGGAAAAACACACACCATTAAGGTATATATTGAAAGATTTAAAGCCTATGCTTATTCTTTTTCACCATTTGTCACTGCACTTTAACTTTAGTTTAAGGAGTTCATGCATTTTCAAGGTGTTCAGACACCTCCTGCTTTAAAAACATTTTGTGATTGGTCAACTGTTTGTTGATTAGCCAATTTAAAAGAAACAGCCTCAAATGATTTTGGTTTAGCATAACCATCAAAGCAGATAAGAAAATCTCAGATCAAACCTACTAGTACTTGTAATTTGTCTCTCCCCTCCCAAAATGTATCTCACTGGATTTGAATAGATTGAGTGGATGGAGAATCTAGGAATAAAAATGGTGTAAATTCACCAAATATCATCCCTGTAGGTATCACAGTTAGATGCTTTGATGAAGTTTTGGTTTTTGAAAAAATTATTTCACTTCTATGTAAATCATTTATAGAATGGTTTACAGAAGATTATGAGTATATATATAAATTAAGTGCTTTCAAAAATCTCTTGGAAAAAATGTGAACAAATTTACGTACAGGATTTTTTTCACATTCAAGGAGATATATGTAACTTTAATAAGTCAGTTCTTCGTCTATCATAAACTCTTCTTTCATATTCTTTTATGCTATGTGTTAATGATTTCTTTATATGAACACAAGTAAAAGTACCCCTCCCTAGTGATGGTAAAAGTATAAGGTAATCTAGCAAAAGTACCCATCCCCAGTGATGGGAAAGGTTTAAGTTAATCTATCAATATAAGTTATTTCATCAACTTTAAAAAGATTAATTTTGTTGTACTCTTGGTTTCACTCAGAGCCAAAGCTCTGAGCTACTTATACCGACCACCACAAAAAGTAATTGTTGAGCATTTCAGTCATTTTTATTCTTTAAGTTATGTCACATTTTGAATTGTGAATGACAGTGTGATTAATTCCTAACAATTTAGTGTACAATATCCTGCTTGCAAAATAAAATTTGACATCAGTATTATTCGTGCCTGTTCTCCCTTTGTTTCAAAAGTGAATGTTCAGCTTTGCCTGCATGTGCAGCTTTTCAAACAGGGGACAGACAAAGGCTCGGACAGACACCATGGTTCACAATATACATAAGAAGCTGTAATGCCAAGAAGATTGAGAAAAGGAGAAATTTTACAATTTCAGTCTATGAACTTTAGAATAGAAAGACATCTTGACCCTGTATCATAAATCTTTGCTCCCAATATAACTCAACTCATTCATATTATTTAAGCTGGAACAATCAAATATCACCGTAATTACATAAAGTTGTATTCCCTAAACTGATACAATTAATTACTAAGTAGGTCACTAAACTTTCTTCTGACACTACACTCACCAGTGCTGATATGAATCCTCTAAATTGTGTGAGCTTTTCATTCAATGGTATAAGCTGTGGAAATATTCTTTCAAAACAAATGTTTGCAGAAAAAGACATAGTAGCTAGAAAATGGTTGCGTACAAACGAAGCAGGGTTTGTTTTAAATCTCAATCTGAAAAAAAAAAAAAAAGATGATGCAACTTTAGGCAATGCACTAATTCCAATAATTACATTGACTGACTGAGCATTCTTACATTTATCATTGAGCAATTTACAAACTTTTAGCGTAAACTCTCCTGTATCAATTGTGATAGAGAAAACATTTCTTAATTTGTGTAAATTATAGCATCATATTTTATGTAGTTTTATTACATTTATTAATTGCTACTTTTTTATTATTTAAATATTATAAAAGGTATGAATACGTGAGAAAAATTATGGAGCATTGCATTTCATTATTGCAACCTATTCGTGCTAAATATTATTATTATTAAATATTAAGCAAAATCTATAAATACATTTGATAGTAATTTGATATGAAAAGCTGGTATGTGCTATAACTTAAGACTAAGACTAGTACGAGAACTCATTACATGATACAACCTCTAAAGCCTTGTACTATTGTAGAGGTAGCAAGATTTTTACATAACCTATTACTATTTGTATTATGCAATCATAATACCATCACTATCAGGATTTGAACTTATTTTATTGATTTAATCAACTTGATCAAATGAATTAAATAACTGGTCGAAACAAGTTTATAACAGGCAATAGTCAAGCGTGATGACTAAATAGTTAAAATACTAAGCTACTCTTAACAATTGAATTAGCATAAAATGGATTCCCTGTTAAGCTTCTCCAATTTAGAATTAGAATTAAACATAATTTACCTGGATAAGTGCATTAACAACGTGCGCTAATATTACGAAAAACTGGATTTTATTTTTACTAGTTTTAGGTTGTATCTATCTATATAAAGAGGTTATTAATTTCTCCTTACCTCCAGAAGGACACTGAATTGTTCGAAAAGGTTTGAAGTAGAGCTACTTAGTCAATTACTATATTAGGCTACTACTAGTATCAATAGTAGAAATTAAGAAAGATACCTAGAATGGAAAGGTTGTCATACACATGATACAAAGACCAGTTAAGATCTTTAATTTCAGTAACTTAAAGTGCTATACTGTATACTATACCTTTTCTTTCTTCAGTAAATTTCTTGAAAAACTTTTATTTTAATCTTATTTATAGCAATACAGAAGATTCTGTCTCTTAATTTGTATACGCGTGTCAATTACTTACCATAACACAAACAAGTCAGCAGTTGAATTTACCTCCCATATCAAATCAACTGCTGAACGTAAAGGAATCGCTAACGTCCCCAATAGTTTAAAAATATATATAAAAATAAAGATACAAGAAATAAATATTCAACTAATTATGGTAATTAATCAGCCTCCGTATCCTTTCATAAAATATGGTCAGAAGGGATAATTCGGTCCTTCACACACACCCTTGAGAAAAGTAAAAAAATAAACACCCACCTATTATAACATGAGTGGCAGGCAGAATATGAATTACGGGATTAAACCTAAAATTTTGACATCATTAAGTTAAAGAAAAATTACTGAATATAGTGTAAAATAAAGCATATCCATCTTTATTTACAATTCAAAATATACGAATAAACTAAACGTTGAACGGTGCTTCTAAAAAGCGAAGAAAGATTTGGAAATTAACGTTCTTACTTTGAGAGAGTATGACATAACATACTGTTACGTCTCCGTTCGTTAGTTAATTTTTCCGTAAAAATTCTTACCGAAGAAACTTTACCTATACGAATCCTTTCTTAAATAAAACTGGTTTATTATTTCTGAATACAACTTTGCGATACACTTAATTCCAACAGTCGCACTATAACAAACGCTATAATTCAAACGAACGTCTCACGTGCTCAACAATATTCTCTCTCCGCAGTTCAATTACACATATTGTCCCGTCACGTTGTGACCGTCTTATATATACTAGACTAACGCATATCTAGTAATCGCTAGAGCATTCATGAAGGAACAGGATATTTCTAGAAGAACGTGGCGTGATACTAGTCACGTGACCTCGTGGACACAACAATACAGAAAAACAATAACGCCATCCCTCTTAGAGTAGGTCGGGTTTAACTTTTAGTCATCTCTAAATTTATACAAGGCGATGATATTAGAGAAAACAGATACTAGATTCGAAAATATACTTCTGCCAACATCGTCCATGAGAATTGTCCTTATGTATCTAATATATAACATAAAATTTAAGGACAAGAATGGACATTCTAGCTCATCTAGGTTGTCTCACGAATCTAACTTTTAATTCTAACAATTAAAAAAAACTCAACGACAGCCTTTAGCATTCAAATATTTATCAAGCTTTCTCTTAAACTCGCTGAAATTTATTGTATTTATCACATCTGAAAGCAACGAATTACAAATCTCAACCGCAATTTTAGAAAATCACAACTGTATTAACTGATGATGATTTTATATTTATATTTGTGTTCTCTAGCCTTACCATTCTCATTATTAAATACGAGCAAAGATGATGCATCAACACTATCAGTTTCCCTAAAATATTAAACACTTCAATCAGATTTCCTCTTTAACTCTTCTTTTTTTCAAGATAAAGCAATTCCAGATACCTGTCCTCCTATGAAAATCTTTCCATCCCAGATGTAATCTCAGCAGCCCTCCTAAGAATTATTTCCAACAATTCAATGTCATTCTTTTGTATAGAGCCCAAAATTGAATATAATACTTCAAATGAGGTATAACCAGTAAACTATATAATAAAATAATAACCTCTTTAGAGATAAAACCTAAAATCCTATTTGTACTACTACTAGCTACAACAAACTGCTTGGATGACTTAAAACAGGATGGTCCATCTTTACAAACGTCGCGGACCAAAATAATACTGTTACGACAGTGGATGTCACGTGACGCTAGTTACACGTCACGCGCTTCTAGAACGTTCGTGAAGAGTCGGGAGGTTACTAGATTTCGGTATTCTTGTACATATAAGACGGTCAAGACGTGACGGCAACAATGGGTAATTGAACTGCGGACACAGAGAGAGAGACGTATTGTTGAGCACGTGAGACGTTCGTTGTGAATTATAGCGTTTATTATAGCGCGACTGTGGAAATTAAGTGTGTTGCAAAGTCGTATTCAGAAAGAATAAACCAGTTTTATTTAAGAAAGGACTTGTAGCGCTAAAGTTTCTTCGAAAAGAATTTTCACGGAAAATTAACTAACGACCAGAGACGTAACAGAGACAATTATTTAAAGTTCGAGATACAACTGTGGTAACCCATGGAGTAACGTAAGTGAATATATCGCATATAGTACAGTGAGAAACAAAGTAGAGAAAAATGGTCTGTCTTGTCAATTGGATTCTTAAGTAATTGAATCAGTCTGTGTAGACTTTGGACAAGAAAAGAGAGTTATTAAAAGTTTTAGATACTGTTACGTCTCCGTTTGTTAATTAACTTTCCGTAACTTCGTTCTGACGAAATTTT